AATTACTGAATGTATGCGAACAACCTTAGTTCGTATATAAAATCAGACAGGAGAACTTCTATTAATGCCTTGATGCGTTTAATTACCTCTTTCACAAAAATACGCCCTGATATACATATAGCTTAAATTGTTTTGCCTTTTTATTAAAAATACATGCATATGCGGATATATATATATACAGTACATTGCTATAAAGACCCTGTTAGTCTATATAAGGACAACAGCAAGAAACAAAAAAAAGCATTTTATTGTATTACTGGCCATGGATATTTGTTACGTTAAATTGTCCTGTATTTATCTGTTTACAAACATACTCTTCAGGCCACTTTTCCGCTTAAAATTGCCTGGTGCCGCAAAAATTGCCTGGTGCATAGGAAGTAAAATTTCCGTTTCGTATAGATGAATTGTTTGGAAGTGTTATAGCCCTGTCACGAATGTCGCCAATCAGAATGACTATGTTTATTGGATACGATACAAACATATTGAGCTATAAAGTATAAATTCTACTCTGTAACTGTAAGTGGGCAACGCTATAGACCCTCAAATTTTGTTATTTTATCTCACATGGAACTCCTAGAAACATGTCTAATCTATCCTCATCAGGAATGCCAACGCACACTCATGACTGATAGATCCAATACGATAATCGATCTAACAGGAAGGTTTAGGCGCGCACTTGCCGCTGATTGGCGAATGACATGCACCTCTTTTACAAGTTTCTATGCATTCGTAAAATTCGTCACTACTATACATACAACAACATGCAGTATTTTTAAGCTATACTGCAGTATTTTTAAGGAACAAAAATTCTGTGTATATTTACCTCCGCCAGGAGGTTATGTAATCATCTGGGTTTGTATGTGTGTGTGTGTGTGTGTGTGTGTGTGTGTGTGTGTGTGTGTGTGTGTTTGTCTGTGAGCACGATAACTTAAGAAATACCAAACATACCCGTACGAAATTTTGTGAGTGCATTTCCCCCATCGGCTAAGGAAGAACTGACTAAAATTTGGTTGAATTTCGTTAAAAATTGAATGAGAAATAACAAAAGTTTGTCTTGCTTTTCCCGGTCAATTAAATCAAACTTTATACTGAATGCGTAATTAGGACGTGCATAATATATGCACCAGCCATTCAAATTCTAATAACAATAGATTACTTCAATATTTTGCGCGTAGGCGGAGGTATGCAGTCTCTGAGTGCCCTCTAGTTACACATGCGTTTGTTTGCATACTTTGCAAACTGCAGGCGACATAACACTTATTATACATCACAAACTTTTCATGCGTCTTGTTTGTATTACGTCAGTTGTATTACAGTTGTAAACCCTGGCTATACGCTACTGACGTCATTCACTTCCTATCTAACATACTGTTACCATCAACTGACAGCAAATTGCTTAACTATCATATACCAGTCATTGCTTTTCACCGGCTGCGAAACGTTCTCCTGCAGTCATAAGGCGTGAGCTAGTGCCCTCAAACGTTTAGTTTCACTGTATACCTCGCTAAGCTAAAAATACTGATATATTTTTAAGATTTAAACACGCTGAATCCAATTCTAAAAAGTTCTTGTCGATAAACCCTGCAGTTTTTTTGTAAATTGCGATAAAAATGTTAAAATTTACGACTTTGGCAATAACATTTTTACTATATACCACACCTCAAAATGCGTACTTTCGGAAGCATTCACTCGCGCGCCATGGTGAAAATTATACAGGATAGGTCACTTCCGCCTAATCTTGAGATATGTGAATTCAGATTTGATGTAATTGCGACAGGACGTATTTTCTGGCTTTGTAGATACCTAGCAACACCAGCCACCAGGCATTCTTTCAAGATTATGAACTTTTAAAGTGTAGACAATTTCATCTTTTAATATGGCGTGTAATGAAGAACAAATTAAAGAAACTTCAAGTTTATAGTAACAAAAATAGATTTTTAGATGGTAAACCAAAAACTATCAAATACTAATAAACAATATTTAAAGCACACTATAGTTTTCTTTTCGTGTAAAACTACACAATCACCACAAGCCACTGCCTCGTCATGAAAGTTATTGACATTGTCAATTTATCTTCATCCATATCTCACCGTTCTCAGAATTGCTGCGTTGGTTCAGGGCATTTCAAATTTTTGCTTTAAAACAAGAGCATCTTTTTGTTTGAGAAGCCTTTTTCCATTCACAGCCAACAAATTTTATAAAGATGCTGTCGTCTGTCTGGTACAGGGGTGGAAAAAGTATCAAAAACCAATAGAAAGGGTGTTACCTGTTCTGTATCAGTGAAAATTGATGCATTTTCCTATGAAAATTGATGCATATTCCTATAGGAATGAGCTAAGAAATGCATCAATTTTCACTGATAGTGTGATAGTATATAAATGTATAGATTAGAGAGTAATTACTATATATGAGGTGTGATATCCGCAAAAATTATATATTCAATTATGCCATTGGAAATTACATTTATGAAGTTCAGTTATGCTATAATTATGATATTCGATATTATGATATTCGAATTTCATTCGGCGTGAAACAGTCATTAATATTGAAATTTCATTCGGCGTGAAACAGTCATTACTGAAATAGTCATTCGGCATGGCACTCAGAAACCAAAATTTGACTTCCGGTGTAGCGGGAAAAGCACACGGGGAATTATAATTTCAACATGGCCGCAGGCAAAGGCAATTTAAGTCAACAGTGTTGATGTTACCTGTTCTGCATCAGTTAAAGGATGTTACCTGTTCTGTATGAAATGCATCAATTTTCACTGATAGTGTGATAGTATATAAATGTATAGATTAGAGAGTTACTATATATGAGGTGTGATATCCGCCAAAATTTATATATTCAATTATGCCATTGGAAATTGCATTTATGAAGTTCAGTTATGCTATAATTATGATATTCGATATTATGATATTCGAATTTCATTCGGCGTGAAACAGTCATTATTGACATTTCATTCGGCGTGAAACAGTCATTACTGAAATAGTCATTCGGCATGGCACTCAGAAACCAAAATTTGACTTCTGGTGTAGCGGGAAAAGCATGCGGGGAATTATAATTTCAACATGACCGAAGGCGAAGGCAATTTAAGTCAACAGTGTGCTGTTTCTTTGTTGCAAGAAGCAACAAGAATGATCAGAGAATATGATGTTTCTTCAGCACAAGTTGCGAATCCAAATGTAATTTCTCAAAGCAAATCGCATCCTTCTACATCACCTGGCGACACTGCTGTCAATACATCAAATTCAGAAAGAGTGTTGGGGAATTTTAGAAATCTTTTTGGGCTGTATGGGCATACTGGTCGCCGATGTCGATCTAAGTTCCTCAACACAGATGTTTCCAAATGAATACGTTTACTGGGACAACACTTATATTTCTGTCTTGTTGACTTAACTTGCCTTCGACTTCGGTCATGGTGGAATTACAATTTCCCCCTAAACCGGAAGTCCAGTTTTGGTTTCTGAGTGCCATGCCAAACCAGAAGTCGAATTTTGGTTTCTGAGTGCCATGCCGAATGACTGTTTCACGACAAATGAAATTACAATAATTTATGAATGTTTCATGCCGAATGAATTCGAATAACATAATATCGAATATCATAATAGTATAACTGAACTTCTTAAATGCAATTTCCAAATGCATAATTGAATATATGAATTTTGGTGGATATCACACATCATAACTGTATGTTAATTAATGTAACAAATGTTGCCTGGCAAATGCATTTTTAGCCAGTCTGGGGCACTTGGTTTTCAAAAATATTTTGGGGAGCATTGTCTCCTTTAAGCTGCTCTTTGTGTCGAGGATTCTCCCAATGAAGAGTTGCTCATTTGAGGACAACATTGCATTCCTTTTGTCTCATGTATCAATATCACAAAAGTCCTCTGCTTTCCATATTTTCACATTGGCATAATTCTGTGCATTGTAAATCCCTTGGTTTACCGACGGTAAACTTACTTTCACCATCCGCAACCCTATCTTACCAACCGTACCACTGGTACGGATGCACTGTACAATAGACACAAATCGACAACAATACCGATGGTAGATGGTAGATTTATGAAATTTACCATTCGTATCGTATCGTGGTATTGGACCATGTTCGCAAAGGCGACGCAGAAATTGCAGCATGAGCTTCACCTTTGAATTTACTATATGAGTAAATTGTTAAACACGTCCGAATTTATCAATATGATAAATTCGCGGCACCTAACCCCTAACACTAATCCTAACTCTTAACCCCTAACCCTTAACCCTAAGTAATCTAACTTTTTAAAAGTTTTTTTAAAAAATCATCAAAATATCAGTTTCCAGTATTCCAGTCGTTCCAGTTTACTATCCAGATCAGTTTTTAATTAAGATGGCGGCCATTCAATAAGTGTGTGACTATTTCAGTCTGAAACAATTTCTTCGTTTGTCAACGAATGTTACCACGTTTTTCTGTGGATTTTGTATTTATCCTACTCTACACTTTCCTGGAAGTTAACTTGGTGTTTTTTTAGAGCAATGTCTCTGGATATGCGATATCTGGATCGCTGAGTCTTTCTAATTGTGTATTACAAACTCGCGGAATGTAAACAATGGTGTCTGCGTTAGCCATAGATATCTTATATACACTAGATAGTGCATCTAATTATTCTGCAATTCAAAAATTGAGGCCGTGATTGCAGACTCAGGATATTTCCATGAAATGAGAAGATTCGTATATGTTTTCTATTTTTTAAACAGGGAACTTAAACATTAAGAACTTGAACCTATTCCAAATACATTTTCAAACTATTCAAATGATGAAAGTTATTGTTGTTTTTTAAGCGTTTATTAGCGAGTGGGAAACTCCAAAATGGCCTCCATCTATTCAAATGGGGGTAAGCGCTGGAATAGTTTTGACTTCAATTTTACTAAAAGAGATGCGCTATCTAGTATATATAAGATATCTATGGCGTTACCGCATCGCACAGACCATGTGCATTTATAGATAACGTTTGTATTTGTGAGTAATACTTGTGTTTCATTGCACATTACGAAAACATCTCCTCAGGATCACGCCACGCTTTCAGCCTTTCACGCTTTGCGTTTGCGGTTCACGATTTGTATTCTTCTCTGTTGGATCACCATAGCACGTATGTCTTCATTTACTCATTTTCAAGTCAGTGTGAACGCCCAAGCAGGCGTCTTGTTGTATTTAGTTTCGTGCCACAAGATGTGGGCCAGGCACACACAAGACAAATTAACCTCATGCTAGCAACAAAATATAAGGCGTATATGTTTACAAGTTAAGTGAATGAAAGTTTTTAATTAATCCTATTAATTAACAAAGTACAGTATGCATGCCCACAAATTATGTTAATTGCTTTGGATGCGGATTCATTAATAAACATTGAACATGCATGGCTCCACAAAGTTTTCAAAAAGTTTAGGTGACTGTATAAAAACATGACATTTTTAAACATCGTATTTTAATAATATTCTTTATGCAACAGGTATCCAAATGTTCACATATTTTAATTTAACATTTCTTTTTCCATGTTTCAAAATATGTTAGCTTTGGTAACACATAGCTACTTCATGGCTATGACACCACACGCGTACGAATTTGTTTTAAAATAGTCTATTTCTTTTTTATGGCGAAACAAAAAGAAAACAGGTGATTCCCAAATCCAATCCCGATTTCGCCGATTGCTTCCAGGACACAGTTACATCGGGGGTAGGCCGGGAAAGTTGACTTGAGTTCAACTTTGCCGGTATTTCGGCGGCAAGTAGAGGCATAATGATAAAGTTGCAGGCATGCCGCAGGCATATGTGAACCAGGCTTTACACAAAAAAAAAATTTCTCATGAACATGTCCGCAGAGTGTGCATTTTGCATTATAATTAAACTTAAAAATTCAAGGCACTTTTATATAATTAAGAGTCAGTTTCTCTATTTAACCGAGCAGCAAACAAACAAAGATTTAATTAGTCAGTTCTGTGCACGACTTGACTGCCAAGCTTTCTTAAGGTCTCAACTTGCTGGACGCGGATATAGTCTAACGGGCTAACAACAGCAACAATGAAATTCTCAATCATACCACGAAGAAGGCGATGTAGCTCAGAAAACAACGCCAGTAGGACCTGATATTAAAAATACGAGTTGGCAGAACGGCTTGGCTGTCAACAACAACAACCTTTCGAATACATGATTAGTTTGGCTGTTCTTTTAGCGTCGTGTATCCAAAATTCGTCCAAGATTTTGATAAAGCCCTTTCAAAATACTGTTTGTTTGTTTTATTTTCTGCCATAAAGCATAAAGGAATATACATTCGAAGAAATCAATGATGGAATTTGTTACGTGCGTTTGACCTTTATATTATTAAATTAATTGTCGCCTTGGACCGAGTTATTTTTAAAACTTTTGTTTATGTAAACTTGCAACCAATCAAAATCCTTCATGATGCTGATCAACTAATTATTTTAACAATTAAGCTTTTATAACCTCTTCCTACAGGTTGAATTGCAATGTTTTACTATGTACATTACTATTTTAATAACTAGTATATTAATCAATAGTATAAATGCTGACAGCTGACTTGCTCCTTAATTTGACGATATATAAAAAACGGCCTCATATGTGGATTGTTTATATGAATATATTTGACATCTTAATACATGACATAACTAACATAAAGTCCCAAAACTATATGGTCCAAAACGGTCGTTTTATATGAGTGTTACGAATCTAAAACGTGTTCGTACGCGAGCACTAACGCGCATGCGCAAGCAAATACTACACTTAAAAGTCATATAAGATTAACTATAGTATCCTTTAACAAACTATGCATAATTCTCGACATCCTCCGGGGGGAGGGAAAGTTTCTGTGTCCAACGTGCAATTCGTTCGCATCCTCTTACATCAGCCTCTCTCCTCCGGCGATGTGGAGGTTCCGAGGTGGGTGGTGATTTCGCTGATGATAGGATGGACCTGTTTGGTCGAAACTTCGAGAGGGTAGAAACGAGCAATAGGTCGGTTGGTTCTACCAGTGTTAGTAAGAATATCGGCAGATCGAATCTGTCCATCGTTTCCACTAACGAGGCTCTCAATTACGGCAAGTCTCCAGTTGGCTCTGGGGCCGTCACCGTGAACTAACACAACGTCACCTTGCTTGACTTTCTGTTCGGTTGTCCCTGTTGTTTTGTGGAGTTCACGAAGTGAGGTGAGATACTCGTGCCTCCACCGCATCCAAAAGGATTGTATTATTATCGATTGTTTCCTGGCTCTTTCTCGAACTTCGGAATCGTTGTCGAAATTTGGATCGTGTAGTTCCTCTTCTTCAACGATTAGGCGAGGTAATCTTCTGACGCGTCGTCCGTACAGAAGGTGGGAAGGTGTCAAGGGTTCTGGATCGTCGGCTTCGTATGTGACATAAGTTATAGGGCGGTCATGGAGGACAGCTTCGATCTCGACTATGATCGTTTGTAGACCCTCTAGGGTTATATATGCGCGTCCAAGGATCTACCTCAAGGTGTTTTTGGTTGGACCAAGAATCCAACGCTTCTAGAATCCTCCAAACCAAGGCGCCCTTTTGGGAATGAATTGCTATTCTACTCCTCGTTTGCTGAGAGAATCGTGCAGTGCTTGTGAATTGAAGAGAGCTCTAAGTTCGTCTGCAGCCGATAAGTAAGTTGATGCGTTATCCGAGATCATCCTTTGTGGCAACGATTTGCGACTAGCAAATCTCCTGAAAGCGTTCAGAAAACACTCAGTGGGTAGGTCTGTCACAACCTCTAAATGTACAGCTCTGGTTACAGCACATGTGAAGAGGCAGATGTAAACCTTCGTTTCGCCATTGTTATCACGTACGTAAAGGGCTCCGCCGGTTGTCGTAAAGGTTCTGTCTCGGTTGTTTTCGACTTGGGAAGTGGAGGTGGATCGGGGCGTGTATAGGCAGTACCAGTGACCAAACGACAATTTACGCACCGTCTCAACAATTTTCTCACGTTCTAGCGGATGGATGGGATCCAATAGGTTTGACGTAATGTGGTCATTGTGGAGTTCACACCACTGTGGAGTATGTTTTCATGGGCGTTGTATACGACAAGATCTGTGAAAGGATGGTTCTTAGGTAGGAGGTATGGAAACATTGCTGACGTGCTTAATGGTGCGTTGTGAATCCTCCCGCCACAACGAAGCACATTGTCGGTGTCGAGGAAAAGACGCAGTTGTCGTATGAGTGGTAATCTTCGGGATGTTTTGCAAGACAGGTTCTCGATTTCCTCGGGGAAGGTAGTACTTTGACACGAATGTGTCCATATCTGCTCGGCGAGGTTCAATTCTTTCCCGGTGAGGGGTCCAGAAGTGTCACTTTTGTCTT